TACATATATACATATATATATATATATTAAATAAAAAAGTTCAATAGCATACTTGACTGTACACAAGAAACTGTGTTTTCTGTTCCTCTGTTAAGATAAAAGTATACGAAGCGGAGGTCCAATTCCACAGGAAAAGCTAGCTTTATGGCTAAAGCAGATGTTCATTAAAAATGTACAATCTACAATTTAGGGAGTGGTAAACCTTGATCTATTTCTCAAGTTTAAAAACGCAGCTAATACGCCCAGATGCGGGGCTCGCGTGGTTCGGGCAAACGTTTCACTGGGTCTAAACGTTATTGCATCTTCGACCAGCGTTGAAAGATCGCATCGCTAACATGGTGACCGGGCTTTCATAATTGGTCCTGTAGATAGTGTTAACATATCTATTATACAAACAATCAAAACAAAGCGACAACGGCTTAGCTGCCTTAAAACTTTCTTTCTAGATCACCTGCAGTAATTACATGCATAACATATCGAAGTCCTCATTCATAGCCAATACTCAGTTTTCCCAAAAACGTTACTGACGAAAACTCCGCGCCAGCAGACATCACCTCTTCTTAGAGTGGCAAAAACCCGACAGCTGGAGATAACCCTTTGCTACGATACAACTTCGTAAATGACCAATAGTTTCGGCGTGTTCACCTTTAGTGCTGACAATTTTGACTCTTCCTGTAATCGTTCCTGTTCTATTGATCTTCAGCCATTTGGGGCTATTTGCTCGTACTTTTTGTCCGTCCTCTTGGAAATCGCTTTACGGGCTACGTTCAATATATTTCCTTCTGTGCTCGAGACATCATCGACACGTTTCCCGATCAGTTCCTGGATGCGTCGACGCTATTTTACAGGTGGTGCCACATCTTTGACGCTAACCACAGGCGACGTATACAAACCAATTTTAAGTGTCCACTAACAGACGCGGAACAAGTGATCATAACGCGACATGCAGAGAAGATGCGGCCGTTGTGTCGCCTGTTGGCCATACGCTACATCCTGTCATGTTGCTAAGACAGCTGCTGCTGCCATTGCTGCCGTTAGTCTTCGTGTCGATATAATATTAGTTTGAAGAAAAAGCAATAGAGTTCTTAGAAGAAAGAGGAGCGTACCCAGTTCATGCGGGGACCATCGCCGCTTGAAGATTCGTGCTAGCTGAGAAACTGCAAGCGCCCGCGAATAGCAGTTAAAGTGCGAGCTATCCGACGAAACAGCTGTCGTAAACGGCTTCTAGATCACAGATGCACGCAGATGCAGTAACGCAGATGGCGCAGTACGGCCCCGACGGTGAAGTAACGAACGCCGAATCGTCTGCATCCAACGATAAAAGACTCCGGAAGCAACAGTAGAAACGCGACGTAACAACGGATGTGCGTAACGCCGAATGGGCAGCTATGAAAACTATCAACTTCTTGACAATCGAATATTGATTTTTGAAGCGGCAAAAGGTAAGCCAGTCAGCCGTAAAGTTATGAAAATACATACTGTAACTCTGGGATGCTGTGGGATAGCTTAAGCTTCATGTTGTTAGGGAAGTTACGCAAGGCTAGGTAAGGAAAGCTAACCATTTAACTAGGCAAAAGAAATTTTTGTTCGATTCTTCTTGTCTCCTGAATCTGTAAGACATATCGAGGCAGCACCTGGTCAGTGTATGAAACCTTATTTGATCGGACGCTAAATTTTATTAAGATCCTCAAGTAATGGTTGGACGTGCCGTTTTCTTTCTTTTTTTTTTTTATTTTGTCATTTAAATGATATACTTTACGGGGGTAGCCTTTCGATCAGTGCTCTTCACATTGTAGATTTCTTTAGCTCGGAATAACACTTATTGCTAGATTAGAAGACACACCGTAGCTTATTCAAATTAACGCTTCTGGTCACAAATATCACAGCTTAAGCATTTATCTTATGTCCATTATTGCCAAACTGCTCAGCAAGAAATGTTGAAAACTTACGAATCAAGTTCAACGAACTTCATGTGTCCAAAAATCAAGTGCCCCTTGATAAAGTGGCACACGCATGTTTGCAGCAGATATCAACACCGCATAAGTTTTGCTCTGTGCTTCGAGATAGTGAAACAAGTGTTTGTATAGTTGACAAACACAATTTTAAGAACACGTGATTTTATTATAAATCGCCATGTCGGCTTGGGACCTTTGTCACTCGTAAACAGTGTGTTACCTTTTCGAATCATAGATGTTAATGTGTGTACATTGGAGCTCTGAGAACATGTATCGTGCACGCACATTATTACACCGACAACACCCGAAAGGAGATTTTAGCTATAGCGGACCGTAAGCCTGCGGACGATGTCGCAAAGTACGAGAAAACTGCTATTAGATCAGGACTCGAGATGAACTACTCTTATTCATTTTTAGTTCATCAATACGTTTATCGATATGATATGTAACGATATTGCAATGTTATCTATGGCTAACGGCTGTGTTTCGGCTTGTGACAGAAACAAAGCTAAAAGGGACTGCCCATATGTAGATCACGTACTCCGAGCGTACGTAACTAGTAGCTGACCCCACTTCAACACATCACAGACTGTTGTTTTTATGCAGGAACAAAGAACTACTAGAGGCTACTGATACTGATCGGTGTGTAATTACGAAGCATACTTTATCTATATAGCCAATGTAGAAGAATTGAATTTTCTGAATTCAGATTCAGATCGTATTTGTCGATAACCGTGTGTCCGCCGTGAGAGTTTCCAATCTAACATGAATATACTGACGGGATATATCCATACGCTGATCTTAGCAAAGTGGCCGTTACTGTTGTTCTATGCCGAACAGTCACATCGAAGCATACACAATTTGCCAATCAGTGAAAAGTCGACTTCACCATCGATTCTTCATTGCTACATTCGGTTTGTGTTGTTGTCCTTGTTGTTGTTACAGGCGAGTCTTGAGAGATGCAGTAAATCGAAAAAAGGACATATTGTGCCTTGTCGGTGTAGATTTAATACACAGATCAAATATGTTCGTTGTAAGGCAGGCTTACTCCCGAGACGGTCGAACAGAAACTGCTCAGTCTGTAGTTAGTTACGCTCCTCCGTTGGTAACTGTGTTGAGCCGAACGGGCGTAGCTTTCATTAAGTAGTAAACGGTAAATTCACTGTAGTAAACAGTAAATTCACTGTAGTAAACGATGGAGTGAACATCTATGGTAGTCATGGTAGGTATCATGGTAGTGAATTCTTGTTTGCTTTGCATAGAAACCTCTTGACCGAAACGGTAGGTAACGCCTCATCAAAACCTATTGAACCAATGTGTCTATATACACATATGGAGAAGGTATCGAGCGTCTGAAAGTGTAGTCATGCATTCGTGCAAGAATCGCGTGTCCCGCTGACCGATTGAAACTATATTAAGGTACGACACAGGACGGACCGCTGCCCTTCTTGCTCTTACGGTTTCTGCTGCTACGAACCTATGGTACATCTGCTTAGGCTTATTAGCGGTCGTGCGAAGGCACAACCGGTAAACGATGCAGTTACGCACGAAATCGTGGCTTACGAGTAGACGTTTAGACTTAAAATTTAAGCACTTGGGAATGAGCAAATGTTCGATTACATGGCCGAATCAGACACACGGATGATTGATTAGATGGATCGATCGTTATGAGATACTAAATCCCGTTATGTTTGTCTTTCGTCCATTTGTAATTCGAGTTGTTCTACAATTTCCGGTAGAACCGAAAGGACGTTTATAGAAAGGGTATTCTCGACTTTGGTTTACAAAACTATCGAAGGACATTTTTATTTCCTTTCCACGCAGTAAATACGCATCGATCTAAATTCCGCTTATTCATAAACATTGTAATGTTTTTTTTTTTATACCGGAAATAATCGTCACCTTTGTGTGAGTGTTCATTGCAACGCAACGACTGGGGAAGCTGCCGCTAACTAAGGTCAGATGCACAAATATTTAAATCTATTTTAACCACCTTCAAAGAAATGGAGTGTTTTAGTCTGTTACCTAAATTATGGTTTTCAGAATTCGTCACACTAAACAAAGCAACCCGATTGTTATCTGGTGATATTTCTCTTTTTTCCTGATGGCATATCCCCAGCAAAAGGTTCAGCGCAAAAAAACCTTTCATAAAATCTTTTATTCTTCTGCGCTGTTCTGGTCTGCTCTCGAAGCCAACGCCGTCTATCCATATATATATATAAGACTTGAAGCTAAGGTCAACAAAAACAACTGAACATCTTTAGAAAAGCCTTTCTTTATAGCAACATTTACACATTTAAGATTTTACTCAAACGCCACATCAATACGGTATTATTAGTAGCGATTAATTTTTCATCCAATTTTTGGCGATTTTTAAGCGTATCTCTTAAATG